TTTTAAGGAGCATATATAGCGCAATTCCATATAAGGTATTGTAACATTTTTGCTAATATCCACGTCTAGCGAACAAAAGTGAAAAACAAAAAGAAATTCTCTTACTCCTTGTAAAACTAATTAAAGTGAAAATTCATAACCTAGCTATTCAATACCTATGTGAACCTATCTCAACTAGGAAATTTATGTTAGTTTATAAATTAAATAAAAAGATATACGTACCAGGGCAAAAGCACCAGCAGCAGCAGCACCAAGTTCACCAACTTTCTCGAGATGACTGTGGTGCTTGACTTCTTTTTCATAATCGACAGGACCCTCTTCCTCCTCCTTGTTCTTATGGTGGAACAGATGATGGTGCTTCTCTTCGGCCATGGCGCTAGTGGTTTTGAAGACTGTCAAAATGTGACTATGACTTTACGAAAAATGGCAATTCGGAAGTGGTTGATGCTTAGTATTTTGATTTGTGGACGTTTTTCTAGTGCATTATTTATAGCTGATGAATTGCTAACTTGGTCCAAAAATAGCTGGCGTGAGTAAGGAGAAAATGTTGTGAAAGGGATTTGAATATTTGTCCATGTGGATTAGGTGGCACCTTTATCAATTCTTACGATTTTTTTATATATCATTTTTCTTAGAGAAACTTAAGCTTGATTTTTTTTTTTATAGATAATTTACTTGGGTGAACGTGAGAAATTTCGATATTAATTACTCTTACTTTATTATGAAAAAATTATGCGACACAAAATATGTATATATACTAGTATTTACATTCGTAGTTATACTTTAAGAAAATTGACATTCATAGCTATATTTGAATTTTATTGCAAATCCATATGTAGTAGTGAAATAAGAGGTCAATTTTTTGAACTGAAACAAAAGAGCAACAAGCTCTCGTAGCCCAATAGGATAGAACACCTACTTAGTAAGCAGAGGTCTTGAATTTGACTCTCAACGAGATTATTCTATTTTTTTGTATTTCTATATTTCGCCTTGGTTACAGTCGATACATTGTATCTTTTGTATATACCACTATAGTTTACCTTGCTTTATGAAACTATAGTTACATATATATTAATTAGGCTCTAAATTATAGTGTTTTATGAAACTTCCTCATTTATTTGTAACTAAGTGAGGTTTTGACTGTGATATATACCTGTGTCCAGTTCAATCCAAAAAATTTTATTTACTTAAAGAGCCCTCTGGGAATTAAGCAACCGGATCAAATAAGTTCAATAATTGTCGAAGGAAAATGTCAATGGAAACACATAGCTATGAAAATTCCTTTCTTTTATATAAATAACAAAACACGTGATTCGTCATTTCCTGCTCAAACTTCTTCTTTTTTTCGTGTGTAGGGGCAGAATTATTCATCAGCACTCATTTAAGCCCCCCAAAAAAAAAAGTTACAAAGAGGAGGACTGTGAGAATTGAACCTACACTTATTATATGTGTAGGGCAGAATCAATCATCAACACCCATTTACTATTCCTTATATATATCCTATTATTATCCCTAATTGTTTCCTTCGTGAGAATACTTTTAATATTTTGCCCATCGCACTACGTGCATATTTATAGGGGCAAAGGGGACTTTTTCCAGTTTTATTTTCTTGAAAAAATAAGTGGGCATTTGGACATAAGAATTGTAAAATTTCGGAAAAAATAAAATTTGTATTTGAAAATTAGAGTTGTGTTTGGACATGAATACAATTTGGAGCTAATAACTTTTTGAAGTTTTCAAATTCCGAAAATTTTGAAATTTTCATGGCCAAACACTAATTTCAAAAAAAAAAAAAGTAAAAAAGAATCTTTTTTTAGTGCCAAACGGGCCCTAAAATATTTATGGTATATTCGTGCTTGTTGATTTTCCATTGGTCTTCCAAATTTATTTTCAGACAATTGAGAGGCCAAATCTGTGCAGATCTCAATTATTCCTTCTTTGTACTGTAGAAATTGAAGCTGAACGATTATCTCCTTAAAGCAAACTCATACTTTTGTTCATGATCATAGGAACATGCCTCTCATGTTCTTGAAAGATATTCTATGTTATAGTTTGTCTAGTTTAATATGAGTGTGGGGTACGTAAGAGGTTTTACCCGCACCTAATATTTTCACTAATTTAATAAATACAAAATAAGTGTCTTTTATATACCATTTTTACTTAATTATAACTAGATCATAAGTATTCTTATTTTAATTTTTAACTGATAAAATTAAATTAATTACATATAATTAATTTTTATATGTGTGTGTCCCCTCTCAATTAACCAATGCTTCCCTTTATCTTTGACATGGTCAAACAAGCATAGTCAGCATAACTCCACCACCACTCCAAAACCCTCAA